AAAAAAAAAGAGATGAATAACCATTACCCTTTTTGCATCACCAAGATCAGCATAAATAAACTGAAGCCTCCCAGGTTCAGGGAACAGCTTTTGCAGAACATTAATTGCACCGAGATTTCCACGAGAGAGATTATCCTATGATAAAGAAAAAAAATAATCTTTCTTCAAGGTCCAAAAGTTAGGAAAAGTTGCAGAATAGGACTGCATTAAAATTATACCACTATTGTCACGCGATAGGATTCCTTAAGAAGCCGTAATGCAGCATGTGAGCCAATGTAACCGGCACCTCCGGTTACTAAAACGTGAGTCACACCCGGTTCATGACTCGAGAACTGTATAAAATATATCATGGTTAAATATTTAGAAACTGAATAAAACCTCAAATTCGAAACGTAAGATTATATATATATAGCTCAGATTATGCAGGGCTCTCCTCAAAATTTCAACTTCCATCAAGAATTTTTTTTATAAGAAATCACTCAACACAATTCTTGAAAATTCTGCAGCCTGATAAAATGCAGTACACTCCACTGTTATTCTAAGCGAGTTGCAATTGTTCGGTGATGAACACACACGGAAAAATAAAAAGAAATTACTTGGCTTGGGGTGTTGAAATTTGGAGATTGCTTGAGCATAAGAATGCATAATGCAGTAAGAGCTGAAACCATCATGATTTTGCCGAGCAAATTGTTCTTCTTCTTGGGGTCTGCATAATCCATTGCTGAACAACAGCCAGCAAAAGGCGAAAGAAAAATTAAAAATCGACAGAAAATACAACTATGAAGCCAAGAATTACAACCCAATGAATACAGTAAAAAAGTTAAAAACCCCACCGCCTAAAGAAATGGATCTATTGGACCTCTGCTGAGTTCTTATCCTGGTGAAACTCAGCATCTGAGAAAACTCCTCCTCTTATTCTACCAAAACAAATAGGACTAAAAAAATCAAATCTTTGGCATCAATTATCAATTGGTATGCAAAGGCACTGTTGATTGTGGCCTCCTCAAATATCCTGCCATGAAAATTTGAATACCAAACCATAATCAGTGACATAATCGAGATGGATCATCGATCAAATAACTTGTTTTAAAGGAGGGTAAAAATTCAACTAAAAAGGGGAACTAAAGCTGGGCCCTGTTGAACAGAATGGGTACAACAATAACATATGAAAAAATAAAACAGAATAATTGCAAAAAAACAAGAAACACTTAAACATATATATTTCCAACAGTCTTGATAACAAAACTGAACCAAAAGAACAATAAGCATTTTAATTCAGCCCATCACACAGAAAATACAAAGACAGTTAAACAAAACTCTCAAGATCCACTTTACAACAATCAAGAAATCAAAACCCAATTGCTCCTAAGCAAGAAAGATCAAAACTTTGCAGCCAAACTAGGCAAATCACTCTTCAATTAGAAGTTTGACCTAAAAAACAATTCAAGAACGGACGAGTTTTTTTTTTTAAATAAAAAAAAAATTTGGGAAACTGAAGGGCCAAATTCCCACTCTAATCTCTGCACCTAAACAATGATCAAACAAATAACCTTTTTTTTCTATTTTTTTATGATTTTCAGCCTCGATTTTAGCAAAATTATACGTGCATTTGAAAGCTCGCAAGATCTCCAGCCAACCAGTGAATAAAAAAAATAAATAAATAAATAAATAAATAAAGAAGAAGAAGAAGATTTATGTCATATAAAAAGGAGACGGAAAAAGACGATGACTCTGATGCCTCCCAAAACAAAATTCAATCACAAAATAACAACAAAACTATAAATAACTGAACAAAAATAAAAATAAAAAGATTAAGAAACTCCGCAGAAAAGATCGAATTTATTCACGAACCCACCACTTACAGAGAGAAGCTGAATATATAGTAATAGCAACGAAGAGAGAGAGAGAGAGAGAGAGAGAGAGAGAGAGAGAAGGTTGCAGTGCTATTTGTGCCAGGGCTGCGCCTGCGCGTAAGTTTTGAAACTGCTGACAATATAATATAATATACTAATATATATAATAAATAATAAAAAGGTATTACTATTTTACCGCCCCCAAAAAAAATTAAATTAAACTATCATCAATTAATTAAAAACCAAATAAAAATGCTACACGTGGCGATTTTATAGAAATTTTCAAAACCTAATCAAACTCTCTTCTTTATTTCGATTTTTGGAAAATTCACCTAATTTTATTCGAAATGTCATAAATTGATGTTATTATATAGTTTTTAAAGTATGCCATTAATACCATCACAGCTGGGATGTAAGTTATGAGATCTTTTGAGCTCATTTATTTAATTTTCAGTTTGAAATATCATTATATTAAGTATTAGTATTATATATGTTAGGATTAACGCTCTCCTACCACGGTGGACACATGTTAATAAAATTGTTATTATAGCAGGCTCCGTAATATTATATGAATGTTGGAACAATATATTTATTTTAAATGCAATCAAAGATTAGGTTGAAATACATAAGTCAGTTTATGTTGCTTACCAAACCCACTCCAAGTGTATTTTTCGCTTAGTTTGCATCATCGACCTCTCATGCTAGAACAAGAAAATTGTGAAAATGACGAATATAATCACACACTATTAATTAAGTCGTGTAGATAAGAAGATTATTACAAAAATATGGATAATAGTATGAGTAAATATGGTGATGAAGCTAGATTAGAGTTAAAATGAGGACTAATTTGCAAGTGGATTATTGGATAGATTAGGAAAAACAAGTCTAAATTAAATATCCCACAAGTTAAGTGAATAATTAAAATATATAATTTTATCAATTTTGGTCCTAAAGATGAGTCAATTATTAACTCGGGTTCTGAAAGATAAATTATATCAACTTATACATTCGACAGATATAATAATATCAATTTAACCCGAAAGATAAATTATATCAATTTATACGTGGATAGACATAGTATTATCAAATGAAAGGGAAAAATAAATTTAGATTAAATAAAAACGAAGTAGAAGAACCCATATTCCAAATGAACAAATTCAAGAAGTCATAGAAGCTTCTTTGTTCTATTTAGAAAGCAAAGTTCCACACAAACAAGTTTGCGAATTAATCCGAGTGTTCGCGAACAAAAAAAATATAATTTTATATATTATATACAGTATATACATGTATAATATAATATATAAATATGAATATATATTAAATATTAAATAAAATAAAAATAATTTATAATTTTATGTATTATATACAAATGAGATGCTACAGTCCTGCTACGGAACTATTTCGTCGAAGTTTGTAACCGTTAGATCAACTATCCCAACGGTTACATGATGATTTAACGGTTACAAACTTCGACGGGATGGTTCCGTAACGGAACTATAACATTTCCCTGAATATACATATATAATATAATATATAGATATACATATATATTAAATAATATTAAATAAAATAACTTGTATGACATTAAAATAAAAAAAAGTTAAAAAACACGAACACGAACATGTCAAACAATTCGAACAATACGAACAAGTTCGACTAGATAAACGAATGAACACGAACGGAAGTTTTTGTTCGTTTATTAAACGAACGAACACGAACATGTTCAAAAATTAGTCAAACTCGAGCTTGAACACTTCAAGCTCGGATTGATTCGGCTCGATAAAAGACTTGATGGCAAGTATGAAATCGAGATTAGTGAATTAATAAAGAACAAGGGCACAAATTTTAAAAGCTTTGTACAGCCCTGTCATGCTTGTCAACAGTATCATCCCTCTCAAAATATGCCACGTGTGGGCAAATTTTGAGCCCCAAGTTTTTCACTTTTTGGACTTTTAGTACAAAAAAAAAATTGTTTCTTTTGGGTCCAAAGCCAAACAGGCCCCTACTCCCACGCTCTCATTTTGTAGCCTAGCATTCAAACTGTGAATTAGGTCACGGGTTGTCTGATTTTGTGCATGCAATCCAACTGAAATTAATGCATGTTTTCTCAAATTTCCAAAGGATATAAATATAATCTAGTCCAACTCAGAATTGAACTTTAGTTTACTTATTTTTGTGAAAATTGGATATATGTTTAGTTTAGGAATATTGTTATTATTATTATTATGTTGGTACAAAATAGGCGGCTACTGACCTAAGCTATTATGAGTCGGGTGTATGTCACTTCAATATTGTCATGTTCCAGCCACGTTCCCATCTCTTGGGAGGGGAGCTGATGTGATGTAATTAGCCAATCGAATAGGATGTTGTCATGCCCGCCATATGATCGACCGCAAAGTTGACCTCCCGTGTACGTGACGAATCCTAATATTCCAGTCTCTGTGGAGCAAATCCCGGATGGCCTTAACCAATGCTTCATGGGGCCCGAATCCCCCAAATCCTGAATGGCCTTAACCAATCGGAATATTACGTGAGCCAATTTATTAATCAGTTCTAATAGTTGTATGATTGCTTCTAATAGTTCAAATTCACATTAATTAACCAGATACACTACAAGAAAATGATGAAATTCCAACGGATATATATTTCAAAAGAATTATTCCAACGACAATTCAAACGGATATTTCAATACTATTATTTTCGTTGGAATTTTTCAATGGATTCCAACGGAAATTCCAACGAAAATATTCCGTTGGAATGAGTTTTCCATTGGAATTTCTGTTGGATTTTGACGATTCCAACGGTGGATTTTCCAACTGGGGTGGAAAAAAAGTTTCAACGGATTTTGCATATTCCAACGGAAATTCCTACGGTGAAAAACCGTTGGAAATATAGCCGTTGGAATCATCAAATTCCATTTAAAATTCCAATGAAAAACACATTCCAACGGAATATTTCCGTTGAAATTTTTGTTGGAGCTATTCCAACGGAAGCTATTCCATTGGAATATCCGTTGGAATTTCCATTGGAATATATTACCATAGTATTTTCCGTTGCATTATAACATTTATTTTGTAGTGTGAAGTCTATGTTCGTATACATTAAACTTTACGATAGTCAAATCTGTTAGACTAACATATTTTTTCAACGAATACACATTTATTTTAAACTGAAATGTTGTCATATTAAAAAAATAATATAAACAATCATATAAATTTTCATAATATAAATTATGTATTATCGTTTAAAAAAATAATTGAACAATAGGCCTATGGATTAAGCCGATTCACACAAAATTTTGTGCAACCAAAAATACGAGTTAGACATATTTTGTCATTTACATATATACTTGATTTTTGAATCGAGGTGTCGTATTCTAATAAACAATATAGATAAATATAAAATTTTTATTATATAAATATTTATTTTCATTAAAAAAAATTGTCGAATCGACTCACCTAGACTCGTGGACCGAGTTTGTGATATATAAAAATTGAGAATTGTCATGGCACCAACTAATGGCTTATTGTTCAATGTTCTTTAATTATGTTATAGCAAAAATTCTATGGAGCCATCGAATGGTTTTCTTATGGAACCATCCATCATTTAATGTATTTATTGTTTGACACACGTGTCAATACCTTATCGGTGAATAAATCTGGATGGTTCCCTAAGTCGAGCCATTCGATGACTCCATAGCAAAACTGTATGTTATAGATAATTTTCTTTTTCTTATAAATACTAATCACATCATCGGAAATTAATAATACAATAATCTCACTACTCTTTTGATTATACTCATATGCTCTCGAAAATCAATGCTCAATTAGTTGAGAAAATTGACGAAATGACTATTTTAAATATATTTTAATTCATGAGGATTTTTGCAGCCTCAAATCAAAGAGCAATTAATTCTATTTTTATAGTTGAGAAAATTGACGAAATGACTATTTTAAATATATTTTAATTCATGAGGATTTTTGCAGCCTCAAATCAAAGAGCAATTAATTCTATTTTTATTTTTCTTATTCGGGTTAGGCCAAGTTCAATCTTGATTATCATAATTACTTGTCTAGTTCCACTCAAGCTTCAAAATATAAAGTAACTTTAATTTATGTTCTAACTAGCCTTTTCATAATTACACGATTATCTTAGCCTTTTCATAATTACACATTTATCTTCCTTTTTTTTTTTTTTAGCCAGCCACGGTATTCGGAACTATGCTCCGACTAATTCGTTGGTCGATCCGGATCACACACCTGGCAGTGGTGAATAAATCTCCCAATATAGATTTTCTGCATTTTTTTAAGGTTTAGGTTTAGGTCTAAGTTAGTTTCATTTTTTATATCTCTTCATTTTTTATATTTGTTTATAGCTCCTCATTGAAATATCTTATGCATTTTCACCCACAAGTAAGTTAGTTGCTTCTTTGGGCATTTATATTGGGCCGATAGTATTAAGCCACTCCTAGAGGTGTGGTCAAGCCTTCTA